CCTCTTCCTACAGAGCGAGCGAGAGAGCGAGGGAGGGAGGGAGGGAGGGAGAAGCAAGGTGGGGAGGAGTCACAGCGGTTTGCCGCGGGGCGCTCTCAGCACTCCGCACGCACGCACAGTACAAACAATACGACTTCAAGGGCCCGGCGGCCAAGAAAGCAGCGCCCCCCGCCACGCAATCACCAGGCGGGAGTCTGTAAAGTCCCCCGCAACCGCAACCGCCCGCTCCCTCTTCTCCGCGTGGAGAGGGCCGGTGGTGGCAGTAGTCGCAGTTGTGGTGGTGGCGAAGAGAGAAGCAGAGCGAAAAGAACGGCAGCCGCCGCCCCTACACCAACGGGATGTTTGAAAAAAAAAACGGAAAAAGAAGAAAAAAACAAGTATCCCTTACATAAACAGGGACGGAGAGTTAAGTACGTCACACGGCACCTACTCCCTTGGCCCCAGCTGGACGCAAATTCTTTCGAGCGGCGTCTGCCACACACACGCAGAGACAAAAAAAAAACAACAATAATAATCGTAAGCACAGAGCATCCTGGGAAGCAGAGCTCGCGACCCAAATTCTCTTCACAGACACCCAGAGAAAGATGGGATGCAAACCACCACGCCCACACAAAGCAAAAAAAAAAGCGAGGCTTCTGAGTGAAAGATGGAATGAAGCGAAAACGAAACAGCAAAAAGCCATGGCAATGGAAAGAAACAAACAAACCAAACACAGGCGCAGGGCGAGGCAGACATAGAGCCGCACATGCGCGGCCAAGAGAATAGGAGAGGAGAAAGAGACACGCATCCAATATTCCCACGCGCATCCCTCGTCACCCTTACTTTCCCCTCCTACCCCCACCCCCCCATTGTTCTCTGCTGATCCGCAACTGCGCGCAGGGCGCGCGGCAGAGCGCTCAGACTACGCGGGGAAGAAAGTACGGAGTTCGTGTGGGGGAGAAATGAGAAAAAAACAAACAAACAAAAAAGAAGGCGTCTGAATCGGCCCTATCCCAGGCTTTATGCACATAATAAAGGGGAGCCGACGTGAATTCTCGCTGAAAAGTCTATGAGAGGCGGAACAAGAAGAGAAGGAAAAAAAGGGGGAAGGGAAAGAGGGAGAGACAATAAATGAACAACAAAACAAAAATCTATTCTGAGTTAGAAAAGACTTAACTCCGTCTGTGTTGCCAGTACGGCGGCAGCCAGCTGCGTTCTGCCTGGAAGAAGCGCGTCCAGCAGAGAGCCGGCACTCCAGCCAGGCTCCGGCGGCAGCAAGCGCAAGACGCAGGACACTTTGCTGCGCCACACGTGCACCTCGGCGGACGCATCCAACACTTCCTCGCCGACGAGTCCAGTCTGCAACTGCACCAGCAGACGACGAGCGCATGCCAAGAGCTTCTCAGCAATGTAGCCCCCGCTGCCCACTCCCGCCGAGGTCGTGGTCGGCGGCGCGGCGCAATCCACACCGCTCCCAGCGTGTTCCCGACGGTTCTTGCACTGAAAGTCAGCAAACAAAAGAGTGATATGCAGCAACAGCTCCACAAAGTGCAGCACCTTTTCAAAGCTCGGGTAGCACCCAATGTCCCTGCCGCTTCCCAGCGGCTCGTCCCCGTTTTCCGCATCGTCGCGCGGCACTCGAAACGGTTGTCGCGACGGCGGGACGGAGGTAAATAAAGCGCCCCACATGAGGGCAGAGCGTTCACCATTCGCCCCGACATCCGTCAAGAGCCGAGTGAGGCTGTTGCCCAACTGCACCGCTTGCGTGGCAGCCACAGTGGCGTTTTCCAAGGCTCGAGGAAGGACGTAGTGAAGGAACAAGGCCACCTCGCAGCGCGCGAGGAAGAGGCGGAACATGACGGTGACAGAGCACCACTTGGCTTCCTCCAACACACTGAGGACATCAAACAGGTTCCGCGGTGTCGTGTGCTGCACGTAGCAGGAGGTGGCAGCACACAAACGCTCACGCAGCGCCTGTTCACAGCTCCCACCAACGTCACGACCCACGACAGGTGGAAGCGCGGCCGCTGCCGCTCGTGTCCTTAGGGCAGTGTGTGCGGCCAACGCCGCGGGAGCCTCGTCGTTGTCGCCGCCGCCGCCGCCAGTGACGGCGTCCGCCCGACGCAGACTCGCGCCCTGTCGAAGCCGCCGCGAATGGTCGTCCTTAGCGACAATTTGAAGAGCGTACGGCCCAATGCCGTCCTCCTTGTCACGCACAGCCGCGCTGTCGCGCTCGTCTCCGGCGCCGACGCTGCTCGGGGTACTGGTGATGCTGACGGGTGCCTTCGGGGACTCTTTGGCACGCCGTCGTTGTCCGCCCCGCCGGCGAGAGGACTTCTTTGCGCCGCCGTCCGACACTTCGCCGGTGTCACGGCGGGCGGCTTCGCTGCCGCCGCCCCTCACGTCCGCGTAACGCCTCTCCACGGCAAGCCTCTCAGACTCGCTCAGACCGAATGTGCACGGCCTCCCCGTGTGTGCGTCGCGGTCCGTGACGTAGCCCCCGAGAATCGGGTTTCGGCTGCACTCCACGGCCAGTCGAAAGGAGTCCGCCACATGACGACCGTGCAACTCCTTCACCTTCCTCGCGCCTTCGTCTGTGGCATACTCGACAAAGCACACGTAAAACATTCGTCCCGGGTTTGTCGTCGCGCGGGGCTTCACCAGCCGCACCTTCGACACCTCGCCACACGACCACAGCAGCTTCCGTATTTCCCTAAAAGACATCTGCACGGGTAGAAATCTGACGTGTAACGTGCGACGCAGGCGCAACGCCTCAGCGTCTGGGGCCTCAGCCACAGCTGCCAGCGTGCCTGGCGCGGTGGGGAGCGTCGCCTGCGCAAGCTCTGTCTCGGCAAACTGCTGTGTTGCCGGCAACTCTGCGGTGGCGTCAGCCACCGGAGGTTCCCTGCAATGGCCCCCTTTGCGCACCACCGCTGCCCAGTCGATACGCCTCTCTGAGGCCCCAAAGGAATCTTTCGAGGAGGAGTGAAAAGAAGGCGGTTTGACGACGGCAGGACCTGGAGCGGTGGACACCGGCGCCGCCGCGTTGACAGACGCGGTTTCCAAATCGCTTGCACCCTCGCGTGGCGTCGCGGGGGAAGGCAGAGCGGTGCCGCCTCCGTTGCTCACGGGAGTGTTCTCATGCTCGCCGACGCACACTGTGCCCCCGGTCAAGCTTTCTGTCGCCGCGTCATCTCTGGCGCCCGGATGGCGCTCCAACAGTGGGAGGGAGACGGAGAGTTCCGACGCCCATGCGATGGTGGAGGCATCCAGCGCCTCCTCCACCGCGGCTGCGTCCTCGTCGGAGGCGACCTCCTGCGACCCCCGCTCGCGCTTGGCCGTGCGCCGCCCATCAGGCCGCTGCGACGGTGCCGTGTTTGTCCCGGGCGACGCCTGGCGCCTTGACACACCCACGACGACCCCGGGAAGAATCTGTAAATCGCAGCAGCGTGTGCCGGACGGATAATCCTCCAACGTTAGTTGCTGGGAACCCACCTGCAGGAAAGCCTGGGGCGAGGTCAGTCCCATCGCAAGGCGAACAAACGCAGCGATGTCACGTAATGTGGCACGCTCAATCCAGTGATCGTGCCGCATGGCATAAACGGTAAAATCTGAGGTATTTATGAAGCACACGGTCTTGCCGTCAAAAAGTCGACAGGCCGTGTAAAGGTGATCGTCTTTCCCACAGAGCAGGCAGGAAGACACCGCCGATGGACTGCAGTGGCACGTTTCAATGCGTTTGCCATCCGCCATGTTGTTCCCCAAAAACAAATTGGGATGAGGAAAGGACGGAGGAAGGGAATGTTGTTCCTTGGTTCCGTGCAATGGTGCAAGCTCAATGCAGGGAGGGTTCTGTACAGAGGCATCCGTGCCTGCCGCAGGTGCACCGGGGCCCGTGGCGACCTCTCGTGGGGAAGGCGCCTCGCAGAACGCAGCCATAGTCAGGGGGGTCATGTAAGCGTTGTGCCTCTCCCGCTCCGCCTCGCAGCGGCCGTAGTGGTACATGTACCAGTAGTAGCAGTAGTTGTAGTAGCTCTGTCGCACCTCCATCCAGGCCCGCTGGAACCAAGAGAGCAGGGGGATCTCGGTTGCGTCCGCGGCAGCGCTGCCGGGAGGCCCTGCGGCGGCCGCGGGGGCCCAATCCCGGGCGTACGGGTTCAGTCGGACTGCGGGGCTGGTCGCGCTGTGCATCCTCTCGTCCTGCGGGCGTCTGCTCCCCGCCCGTCGACGGGTGCGCCGACGCCGCGGCGGCAGGAAAAGGGGGGAAAACGAGAAGGCGGGGGGCAGGCGTGCAGGCGGGCGAGGGAGAGACGGACACGCCGCGGGCGTCGCACGCAAACGTGCCCACCCCGTACGCAGCGAGAGGGAAAAACGAGGAGGCAGAAGAAAAAAAAAAAACACACCGGACCCCCGTGCACATCCTCGCACACACAAACACGTCTCCCCCTGTTTTTCACGCTGCCGCCCGGGCGGGAGGCAGAAAACAAACAAACAACGCAAAAAAAAATAGCAATAATAACAATAACCATAAAAGTAAAAAAAAAGTAGGACGAATTCGCAGAGAGGGGCCTCCAACGGCACAAAGACGGTGAAACAAAAAAATAAAATAAAGAGAGGCCGGAAAGGGCGGCAGCAAAAAGAAAACCCAAAAACAAACAAACAAACAAACACCGCCACCAGCTGGCAGGAGGAGGCAAAGAAACAGACAGAAAACGCGTTTACGCCCTTCATCCTCTTCTGCTCCGCCGAACCTCGATGTTTCCGGGTGGGAAAATCACAAAGAGAATCAGAATCCGCACATTCAGCCAGAGGCTAAGGAAAAAATACACGCATACAAGTGTGTGTATATATACACATATATATATGAATCGTCCCGCAGGAAAAACAAAAACAAAAACGCCACGTTCACCTCTCTCCGCCCCATCTCTCGAAGAAAAAACACAACGCACCCGCAAGATCCGTCGCGCCTCCGCCGGCTAAACGGTGTTTCGTCGGTCACACACGTTTCTGCACCCTGTGAGGCAGTGAGCGACGCAGTTGGCAGTGCGTGAGAGAATGGCGGCGACTGATAAGGTGGAGTAAGTACGGCAGAAAAGGCAGGGAAATGCAGAGGAGCTGGCGCACCCTCCCCCTGCCCGGCTCCCCAGGGCCGCCTTAGTGAGGAGGGGGGGCACTGCTAATTTAGGGGGATGAACTCGCCCTCCGAGAGGGAGTCCCTCCGAGCTGCCGCCGCGGCGGCCGCCTCCTCGCCAGAGCGTGAATTTGGGGGCCCCGCTTCCTCCTGCTCCGGCGGCGGCGGCGGCGTCACGTGCAACTGTTGCCCAACACGCTTGACGGCGTCGCGGACGCGGAGTTTCTCCCTCATATTCTCCATCCTCGCCCTGCAGTACAATGAGCGGGAGAACGTGCGAGCAAACCGCTCCTTCTCACGCTTTGCCAGCCTCAGCGCCTCCTCAGACTCCAGCGGGCACGGGTTGAGGCAGACGTGCTCGGAGTATAGCCCGAGGGCTCGCCCCGCGCTGCCCCACCGCTCCAGCCAGAGGGAAGAGCGAAGGATGAGGAGAAGCAGCAGGAGGAGCCCAAGCAGAGCTGGAATGTGGGCGACGCAGAGGCACATGATGTCCTTCGTTGAACTCCCACCCGCCTGACCACGCATTAGCAGAACGTGCTCCTGAATGATGCGGAGGTCGAGGCACCACTGCATCATCACGACCAGAAGAAGAAAATAGACGTGGTGGGTGGAGACGGCCAGGCCGGGAAAAAACAAATGGGGATTCTCCTGGAACGTCGGCCACGTCCACTCCTGCGCCACCGCCACGCACTCTAAGAACATGCAAAGGCAAGCAATGACGACGGGGACCCCCAGCCATGTCACTGGAATAAGTGGTTCCACAAACACCTCCTTCGTGGGGCCGTACAACAGCTCAAACCCGAGGAAGGCGGCGCCAATCGCAGTCCAGCCGATAATAAGAAGTGTCCAGTAAATCCCCATGCGAACAGTGGCAATGCCCTTCTCTACAGCCTGCTTCTGTGTTTGCTTCCTATTCTTCTTCTTCTTCCTCCAGAGGAGCACCCTATTGATCCCCGCGGCAAACGCGCCAAAGGTGCGATGCGGCAAATAAATGTTGAGGGAGCCCTGCTGGTACATGATGTCCAGGATAAACATGAAGATGTACCAATCGATGCTGAGGGCCGCCCACCAAAAGCCACGGAGAGCGGTGACGGCGTCCACCCCTGGCAAGACCGGGAGAATGAGTGCCCAGGAGAGTTGGCCTGGCCAAAATCGATACAAGAGCGCATTGTACAGCTTTGTCCCAAAGTAGATGCCAAGGACGGCGCCAACGACCATGGCAAAGTAGCCGCCGCGCTTCTTGCCCTCGTAAATGGAGGCATAATAAGTTCCAAAGCAATTTCTTATAAACTTCCGCTCCGCCGCAGATTGTGCTCCGCAAATCTGTAAGCGCATAAGCCTTCTGCCCAGCAGCACATGGAACCCATAGCGGTACACGCAGGCGCCCACGATGGCACCCCCGAAGGCGCAGCCGGCGTGTGTCATTCCCATAAAAAAGGCGGAGCCGTTCCAGCTGGAGGCAATGCTGTTGTACACCGTGAACCAAAAATCCCATCGCGCGTCACGGTACGTGGCCTCCTCCCCTCGATCCGCCACATCAACGGCGTACAGAAAGAAGTGCAAGCAAAACATAAGCGCGACGCAAATGAGACGCGAGAATGCGCCCTCGCAAACAAGCCGCACACGATCCGAAAAAAGTATCTCTCTGTGCACAGTGGATGCTGCGGCAGTTGTACCTCGCAGAGGGGAGCCCACGACCAGCTCATGTCCTGCGCTTGTAGTCTCAGCCGCCTGTGCTCGCACCTTTTCCTCTTCGTTCGCCGCCTCAACCCCTTTCAAAAATCGAACGATCTGCATGCATTCCTCCTTGGAGGTGAAATGGGCGGCGTTTTCGAGGGCCCACTTTGCCGGCGTAAACCCAAATGAGTCCTTCTGTGACGCCAGCGCGCTATCCTCGTCCACGATTCTCCGCATGAACTCCAGACGGCGCGGCCACGGCGGCGCTTCGCTGGCGAAGGGAATGGCGCTGTGCAGAAGATTGCGTCCGCGCGCCCCGACGCGTGTGACGTCCACCTCCCGTCCGCGGTCGAGCATCGCAAACGCAACCTCCGGCTGGCACCACAAGGCCAGGGTGAGGGCGGTGTCCCCGTTGAGGTCCTCGCAGCTGTGTACCGCGCTGCCGAACTCCAGGCAACTGTGCACGAAACTCTGCTCCCCTGACGCCACCGCGAGGTGCGTCATAGTGTAGCCCGTTGTGAAGTCGTCAACCCCATCCACGAGCGACCGCTGACTCTCGACGACGACTCTGATGGCGGACTCCCCCCCGCCGCCGTCGTGTTCCGCGGACAACGAGGTGCAGCCTGGCACGCCCACAATGCGGCCCTCACGGCAGCACTCCTTGTACTTGTCTAGCAGTCCGCCAAACCGCACGGTGTCCTTCGCCACAAGGGCCCGCACCAAGTTGTTTTGGAACTGGCGCACAGTGTACATTCCGGGAGGACACCGCGGCTCCCGCACAGGCGTTTCACCCCACCCGAAAAGCTTTGACGCCTTGCGCTGCAAGCCTTCCTTGAATTCCTTCGCCAGACCCGACAGGCCTTGCGGCACGCGAAAAGACCCACCACTATCCTTCGGAGCAAGAGGGCGAACGTTTGGCAGCGCCTTCCGGGAGTCTAATGGGTTAACGACGGGCGGACGACCCGAACTGTCATCCTCCGCCTCCACTTCGAACTTCATAAACTCGGCGGTGTGTGACTCACTAAGCCCTGTGGCTGCGCCGGCCGCAGAAAGTCCTCCAGAGGTCGCCTTAAGGGCGCCCAACAGGCAGAGAAACACCACCACCAACGACAGCAACACTGCCGGAGCAGCCGCACAAAGAGAAGAGGAAGCGAGGGGGGAGGGGAGGGGAAGAAGACGTCACGAGAAACAGACAGACAGACAGACAGGCATGTGCTGCCGCGCCAGCCGCACACAAAAAAGCAGAGCGAGAAACGCTGCCGGACCGGCATTCTCACCCACACCCTCGCGTGGCCGTGCGCCCGCAACAACGGCGCGAGAGGCCCAAGGCAACCCAGCAGGGCATCGACGGGCCAGCAACCCGCCCTCCGTGAGGGGGCAAAAGGCGCGCGGGTTCGCGCGGCCGGAGGGAGTCCGGGCCGCGCTCCGTCCCGCCAGAGCCGGCCGGACAGACGGCGCCTTGTGCCTCGCCGCCCTCCCGGCGCCCACCAAAGGGCGCATTGCACCCGCCGACGCGGCAGCGCCACTCACGGCGCAAGCGCCAAAGCCACGGCGCA